GGGGGGGTGTCTAGTATGCTTGAGTGTGTGTGAGTGTGTTTGGTGTGCCTGTGTGTATGAGTATTTGGTGTATATGTGTGATATTTGTGTGTGGGTGAGTGTGCATGTGTGTGGCCTCTGGGGTGTGACAGCATGAGTGTCTGGTATGTTCGTGTATGAGTAGGTGCATGTGTCTGGTACATGTATCCATGCGTTTTTGTGGTATGTGTGTATGAGTGGGTGTGAGAGTGAACTTAGCTATTACCAGGCCTTGCAGCATATAAAATGATTATGTGAGTGCCGAGACTGGAGACAGGACCACTGGAGAAATGCCTCTGGGAGGGACGACAAGGACAGGTGAGACCCCTCCTTTATCCCAGCTATCTAGAGCCTTTAAGCCATTACTTAACCTGCACTGTCAGTTGGCTCTCTCTCAGAATTCATAGCTAGCATCCCTAATGGACTTGTACCAGCTGGGTTCTGAAGCTTCATTCTAGACACTAACCACATGGGGAGAATTCAGGAGCAGCACGCCAGCTCCTGCCCCCCACCCCCACCCCCAGGACTGACAGCAGTGAACCCTGTGTTCTCTACAGGCCCTCTTAAACCATTTGCCACGAGCTGAAAAGATCTGACAACACAAACACACTTCTTCACAGTTAGTGCTTTTTATTTAATCAACGTTTGAGATTTGGGAACGAACGTCAGTCACTAGAGCTAGAGGCTCGGCTCCACACTTCTGACACCAGAGAACCATTTTGTTCTGCTACTGCATTTTAAGAAGAAACTGAGGCAGAGGGATGTGAGGGAAGACCAAAGACAATCAGCAGGGTGGGAAAGAGGCACCCTGGGTTCACCCAGTATCTTTTGCCCTTTTTTTTGGGGGGGGGGGGTCTGCTTTTGTTTGCCTCTGCTGCCCTGGCTGGGTTTGAGAGATAGGTTAATTAGTGCCAAACTCCACAACAGGACATTCCCTCTTGTGGAGATTGGGATCAAAGGCATGGCTTGAGTTTTTCATCTTATTACTAAGTACTTTAGAGAGAGTTGTATTTAAGCTAACATGTGACATCAGCGGTCTCTGGCCCTAAACAATTGATTATCGTGACTTGCTTTTGTGATGGACCGCTGTCCTGCTTGCCCCACACCATGGTCTCTGCTCAGTTTCCTCGTCCTCTTTTTCTTTTAGAGCATGACAAAAGGAGAAATTAAATCCATTAAAAAAAAAAAGTTTATTCTTACCAGTTCTGACGGTTCAAGTTTCTTGTTAACGGAACACAGCTGCTAAAATGTGGGCTAAAAAGTCAAAGGTTGTAAGCAATTCCAGAGGATAAAAGGCTTCAGGCACGTAAAAGTAAACAAAAAAACATACTTAAAAATCAACTCTAGAGTTTACACCTTCCCATCTCATTCTCTAATTCTCACAAATATATAGTTAAAAGTTTTATTAGTAAACTAAAAGATACTTAAATCTGGGTTTTTTGCCGCCGCGTGGTATTTGAACACTGTCACATAATCTAAAAGAAATTAATTTAAAAGAAATTCAATAAGCGCACCCTTCCCCCACAAGAGGAAGTTTTCCCATTAAGCAAATGATTAATGCAGCGAAAGATCCTAAAGATTGTGCCACGAAATCTAACTGGCTTTGCCACCAACCCCCACCCTGGTCTGGTTGTCCCGTGGTGCATCTCCCTTAACCATCTACCTACGAAGGGAAAGGGCCAGCCAGTCCATTCAAATGCTAACCCCGCTTTAACAGGGTGAGGAGACAGGGCCAGTTAGGGATGTTTGAGGACCTGCTAGAAAAGCCCCAGGAAAAGCAAAGTCCTGAGCCTAGTTGACTGAGTGAACTATTTCACAGCAAATGGGCTTGGAATGAATGGGTGTTTTACCAGAACCTCTTGTGTGGGTGGCGGGGCTCTCCCAAGGGTGGTATGCTCCTATATAGCCCGCTGAGGTTTTTTCACCTGGAGTCCGGATAGCGCTAGGGAGGGGGAGGTGCGGAGAGGGAGGGTTGTGCGGGTGGGTAGCTAGCTGGCTGGGCTAATGCGGCTGCTGTGACTCAGGTAGACAGTGGAAGGTTACTAAGAGATAGCAAAATGCGCGTTCCTGTTTGAATACCCAGGGTATGAGCCTGGTACACTGCTCACTTAGGTTCTTTTGTTGTTATTGTTGTGTTGTTTTTTTTATTTTGGTTTGTTTGGGAGGGTTGTTTGTTTTTGTTTTTCCCCGGAGATCGGGGTTCTCTGTGCAGTCCTGACAGTTCAGGAACTTGCTCTGTAGAGCAGGCTGGCCTAGAACTCAAAGATCCCCCTGCCTTCCCACCCCCACCCGACCCACGCTGAGATTAGAGGTGAGCGCCACCAAGCCTGACTCTGGGCTTCTAAAAGAGCAACGTGTGGGGGGAGGGGGCGGGTATAGAAACTGGAGACACTTTTTAAATTTTTATTTATCCCAGCAACAAGGCAGCATCCTAATTTAGTTAATGAAAAATCTAACTGCTGAAAAGTGCGGCTTCTCCACCTGTTAACTAGAAACCTGTTGCTTGGTAAACGCAGGCTACTAATACATCACAAGACAAAATGGTACCAAACGTCAAGAGAACGTCATCATCATCATCATCGTTTATGTTGCCGAGCATTTTAATTTAGGAACGACATGTTTTTACTTAAGACAGTATCACGCTTTCAACCCAAAAGCCCCCGCCTCCTTTCTGCAGGCTACCCCTCATCCTCTACCCACTAACAAACTGCTTCCCGCTGTTAACCAAAGACGCAGTTAGCCGCAGTGCGCACAGCCCACCCCCACCTTTAAGTTCTGGGGGCTGCGATGCCATCCCAGGAGAGAGGATAGGTCCTGAAAGGAAACTACGTAATGCTTTCCTTCTAACACCATTCTCCTCTTAGGAGCCCTGGAGCCCAGCCGGCTTTGATTTCAAGCTTTGAAACTGCTTTTCTTAACCAGATTTCCCAAATCATCCCATCAGAATATCTCAAGCCGCCGCAAGACCAGCTGCGCACACTTAAAAAAAAAAAAAGTTTCTAAATGGATGAGATACAGTAGGTGCGTTTTACTTAAGATCAGCCTTTCCGCCCAAGGCTGGAGGGGAAAGCATTCCAAGATGTGTTATGTGCTTGACCCTGGGGCAGATCACCGGCGATCTCCCCTCCCCCACAGGTTACAGATTCCAAATACAGCCCCACCCGAGCTGAAGATGACCAAAATGGCTGTATCGCGTCCTCCCTGCCACCTCTAAGTCCCCTAAGCGCAGGATCCGACATCTTCCCAGCTTGGGATCTTGCCACGATCTTTGGGAACACCTTTGAAGGTGTCAAAGTGATAGCCACGACCCCCTTACTCAGCCTGTGCCTTGATCCGCTTTACCTTCCCTACCAAGACCACCTGGTACGGCTCTCGTTCCTTCTCTCCTGCCTCTAGGGCCTAGGCGCACAGTCCTGGACCTCGCCGAACAAGTCAGATCTGCCTAACCAGCTGCGCGATACCCCGATGTGATCCTAGCCGTCCTGCTAACCCAGGTAGCCCATAAGAGCATCCCTAAAGATCCCTGTACCTCCGCCGAGTGTCCTCCAAGCACCATTCATTATCAAAAACTCCTATCTGCGCGGGAAGGTTGGCTTTAGGACGCGCAGGAGAGGTGCGCGCGCCCCTTTTCACGATCTCTGGCCTCCTCTAACCTCCAGAGGTGAGCAGTGTTAGCCAAGACTGCTTGCACGGCGTGGGGGGGCACTGGCTCCAAGGTCCCGCGGCCGCAAATTGGCCATACCGGTACCCAATTTCCATGCTCCGCGCCGGCTGAATGCCACGTGCGACTTAGGCTCCAGAGTTGTCACCGAATCCCAAACGCAGTTACTTTCTGCGCATTGCAATAGTGTAGCTGTGGCGCAGCAGTCTCAGATCGCCAAAGTTGGTGCGTGCACCTCCATACAGAGTCCAGTGGGCTCTACCTAAAGCCAACTCCGTTGCTGAAGACTAACTAACCTCTCTAGGAGGAGGGGAGAGAACGTAGAAAACAAGTGACTTACCTTTGCCGTTTGTGTGTGCGACTCCAAACCTGGGACGCGCTGGGAATTCAGTGTTGCGCACCGGGTGCCAGCTCGGGGACCTCAGGTTGTTTCCAGCGAGGCGCCAGAAAAGCCTCGCCGCCAACAAACCTTTGGTCTCCCAAGCGCCCCTGGATGCCCTGGAGAGATTCGAAGAGCCCTCTCTCCTTTTCCGGGGTGTATTGTGGGCTGATTAATGGGCACCGTTCCCTTCCCACCTTGCCTCCCATCTGTCTATTTCCTCCCACCCTACTGTCGCAGGGACTCCCGTTTGGTCAGGGCAACTAACCTTTATCCATGAAAACAAGGAGAATCTGGACGGAGTCACCCATTAGTGACGCCGGATGGGGATGGGCCCCTTTCTGGGAGGGGACTCCGGGGACTGGTCGCGACGGCGGGCTGGCCTCTTGGTCTTGCAGCGGCGGGGCTGCCTGTTCTCCTCCTCTTTGCGCTCCTCTGACTCCTCGGGGTCCCGAGGATCCTGGTCTAAGGGCCCGCGCTGGGGCTCCTCCCCCTCGCTTTCGCTCTCAGGCTCCTGAGTGGTGGGCTGCGCACGTCTCAGGGAGGCGTCGGCGCTCTGCAACTTCAGAGCGTGCAGACGCTGAGTGAGTGACTGGTTGAAGGTGGCGCCCCGGGGGCCGCGCTCGTCCTCTGGCTCGGTCTCAGGCTCAGTTGTAGGGGCGGTCTCAGGGTCGGACTCAGGGTCGGACTCAGGCTCGGTCTCAGGCTCGGTCTCAGGCTCGGTCTCGAGTTCGGTCTCCGGCTCGGTCTCAGAATCGGTCTCAGAATCGGTCTCGTAGTCGTCCTGATCGTACTCTAGGCACTCGGGGCGGGCCAGCTCAGGCTCAACCTCCTCGTGCTCGTGATCAGACTCGGATTCAGAGGACTCGGGGAGTACCTGTGGGACAGCTACAGCGGCAGGGGAGCGGTGGTGGGCGTTAAGGAAGCTCCGGCGCTGGGCGGCACGCTGCTGGGCGCGGGCGTTGGAAGAGGCTAGGGCACGGAGGAGAGCAATGGAGCAGGAGAGCCAGAGGAGAGCGGTGGCAGCCCGGCGGCCAATGGGCGGGCACAGGTCGTTGTAATTATGGCGAGCTCGGCGCCACTGCTGAGCCCGGGACCTGCGATCCATTCTCTTAGGTGCTCACCGAGAAGCCGACTCACCCTCTGGCTCTGCAGAGAGTGGCCCCACTGCTCAAGGACTGTTGGAACCGAAAAGGATTGCCCTTATGAGGTGAGAAGCTGGGGTCCAGAGACCCTAGTCTCACCTCGGGGCAAAAAGAAGGAATGCACCTACCTTCCAATCACTGCGAACTTTCTAAAGCTCCGCGCCTCAGCTTGCGTCTGTAAGTAAAAGAAAGGGATGGGTAAAGAAGAGAGAAGGGTAGTCTCCTCCAGGCTCCTCTCGCTAAGTCTCAGACTGAAGTCTAAGACTCCGAGAGGTGCCTCCTCTGATCCTCTCGTCTGGGAGAGGATGGAGGAGACTGAGGAGAGATGGGGCAATGGGGCCCTATAAAGTTGCGCGGACTTCTGCCGGGCATGTGCAGTAGGGAGGTGTTTGGGGGCGGGAGTGCCTCCCCGCGAGCTGTGCGGTGGCGCATAGCTCATGGCGCAGACCCTAGTGGGCCGGCAGGTGGCAGGCGGGAACCTTGTTTGAGTAGATTTGGCCAAAGCATCGAGGTTGGGGGGTGCGGATATCGAGGTCTAGCGAGCGAAGGGAATAGGATAGCTACAGGTTAGCGGATTTTAGAAGCCTAGTGTAGATTCCCACGGGGGTTTGTCCCCACTCCTCAACTTTTTCTCTCCATGAGCATAACCACCAAGCAACTGAAAACCAGACCGCAAAATTGTAAATATTCAGGGGACTGAGGGTCCGTCCGGGACTGAGTGTTAATGACGGAAGGGCTTGAATGCTTGAGGATTGGAACCTCAAGTAAACGCTAACCATATCAAAGGTGGTTACTCCTTAGGGCTGTTAAAATAACTGTAATTAGAGCAGCCTCCAAGAAGGTATGGACCCCTTTGACAAACAAGCTCCCCGACCCCCGCGGCGGTAGAGGTAGGAATTTGCAAGCTGAATAGTCAGCACATGGAGAACTGTTCCACTGAGGTGTGCTGGAAGACCATAGGAAACGGAGAGTATCCAAGCCTTCAACGGCTGTTCTCCGTGTGGGTTTTTAGGGTAGTCATTGAGCGTGGACTCATACATTTCAGCTGTGAGGGTTCAACCATCACACTAGAGTCTCCGGCACACGCGGAGCTCTGTTCTAGGTGCTGAAGACAGCGAGGAACCCGAGCGGGTCCGGTATTAGAGAAAGGGGTCTTGAGGGGTTAATGTATCTTAACCAGAGCATCAGCTCATTCTTCAGCATCGTTACTTCATCTGGCTCACGCTACATGAGAAAAGCAGGTACGTCAGCGAGAGCATCATGGCTAGGGGGCGGCCAGAGACCACTGGATCCGTGCTGTTGGACTTGGAAGACCAAGGTAAAAGACCTGCTTGCTCCTGAGCGGTGGAAAAGCTGATGGACTCAGGTAGGTCCAGGAGGGGATGGAGCCCTGGGGGAAGTGGGTTTGGGGCTCATTTAGTTTATCTCGCGTCTTGCCTTGTTAAATATAGAGTGCCTTTAAAATAAATAACAGTAGCAGAGCTGTGTTACGGAGATGCATGAGGTCCTGACAGGGTGGGGTTTTTTTGTTTTATGGGTGGGGTTTTTTTTTATGCTTTTTGGGTTTTTTTTCTTTTTAAACCTGGGACACAGGTCACACGTTGGACTGTTTTTTTCCTTGAGTCATAAGAAGAGGTGCTGCTGCCTCTCCAAGGTGCTCCCCCAGGGTTCCTTCCTGGAGGTGGAATTGTGAGTTATGTCTTGAAGCTGGTGCTGGCCCTGGGTCACTTACCCTCATTCACTTGCACCTCAGCACCAGGCTGCGTCGAAGCTCCAGATGCAGTGTTGCCTCCTTAGGTCCCTGTCCCTCTGTGTGGCTGCAGATTGTATCTCTGTCTTGACTGTTGGTGCTGCATCTTGTGGTTCCTGTGTAGCCTTCAATGCTGTTTAGATAGAGTGGGATTGGGTTGGGGCAGCTTGTAAGCAAGTGTGTGGCTGTGACCTCGTTGTGCCCTGCTGACGCTTAGGATATTGCTGTGACTCTTGAGCCATCCCAGACCTGTACCTCTGCCTTTTCACCCTGGTGAATGCGGTGTCTGGGGGCTCTGACCACTTCCAGACACTTACCTTGTTTTTTTTTTCCAGCTAAAACAGTTCTGCCGACATCATATGGAGCACAAAGACATTGGTCTAGCCAATTTTAGGGCACGCACAGAGAGAAGACAGAACTATGGATGCTAGTAAATGCCTGTTTGATGGAAACTGATGCCAGCTGTCATTAGTGAGGTGAATGAGGGTTTTTAGTGTGTGTAGGAAAGTGCCTCATGTTTCAGGGGGAAAGCTTTATGCCTGTGATAGAGATGGCAGCCCAGATTCCATGAACTACTAAAGAAACACCAAGACTGCCCACATTATTAAAAAATATGCATTATATAATACGTATTTTGGACTAGGATTCTGCATTAGCATTGCTCTTTCTTTGCAAAATACATTTTAATCAGCCTACAGACATTTAACAAAACACATATTTTCAAGCCCTTTCATCTGTACAGTTACAAAATTATTTCAGCATGTGTTCAGCACAGACTTCAGGAGGAGCAGGGCTGCACCAAAAAACAGTTCCATCTTGCACTTAGTGCTGAGGTCGAGCAAATGGATCTGCACAGAAATTGTTCTTTAAAATGCATTATGTGCATGACTTTAAAAAGTGCTTTGCTGCAGAGTGAATTTCAAAAGGGACCAAGTAGGTGATGAATGACCTTGGGTGTTACCAGCTGAGGGACAAGGGGTTCTCTGTGTCTGCTGTACATACAGTGTGCTCATGTCTTACCTTCAGGCTTTCCAGAAGGAGGCTGCTAGACCAGTTGGGCAGGAAAGCAGTTTCCAGTTGACTACAGTATCCTACAGACGGGTTTTCATTTGGATGTATTGTGAAGATTGTCTTGAGCTTGAAGGATTATCTAGTGGAAAGGCTCTACTAGTTATTTCACATTGCTCCAAGGGCAAAATGAGCACCTATGGGTGCTGTGCCTAAGTTGGCTTCAGCCCAAGGAGGGATATTCTATCAGTTAGGGCTCTGAAGTAGAATGGCCTCTTCATCAAAAGCTATTGCTAGGTCAAAGAACAGATGACCACATGCTAGATAGAGGCGTTTTCATGGTGCTCCTGAAATTGCTAGAGCTAAGACAAGATTTGATAACAGCTCTCTTGAGTTGTTCCCCCCAGGACTGTAGGAGAGGGCTGTAGGGGGCTCAAGCCTCTCATTCTGCCTCAATTTCAGAAGACTTTGTGACAGGAGGGAGTATTTGAGACTAGCCAGGTGGCTGAAGGTGGAGACCGGGGCCCTGTTCTGGAGCTCCTTTAAGCTAGTGGCCGGCCGGCCGGGCAGGCAGGCCCTGAGTCTTTGCTCTCAGGCACTCAGTCAGGCCCATCTATTAATTATATCGGCCTCTGGGCCTCCCTTCCTGGAGCTGTCTCGGAAATTACAAATGACATTGGCTAGTTAGTAATCGTGAACTGAGTCGCCTTTCTGACCTAGACACTGTTCCTGGCATTGTGGTGAGATCAAAGCCAACGAGGAAGGATGAACAGCAGCTGCCATCCAGCAACACGGATCCACGCGGGGTCCCAGGTAACGATCGTCCAGTTTCTGAGGCCAGTGCTGATTGTGGTCATCGTCGTCCTTTGCTTGTCTTTTAAAACCTAGTCCAACTTGGAAATTGTTAGTTTTTTCTTCTGTTTTTGTTTTTCAAACTGAGAGCATTGCCCCCCCCCCCCCCCTTCTCCCTGTTCCAGGTGTAAAGAAGCGTGCTGGGAACCAGTCAGTCACAGGGCCTACAGATAGCAGACCTACAAGAGAGGTTGGGATCTGCTCTGCCTGGTCAGCAGGCACGATAGCTGCTGGACACAGTTCTTAGGCAGCCATTGGGAACAGACGAATGCAGATGTCGAGCTTTCCAGAGTTCCTTCTGGAGAGAAGTGAACTGAGGGACTTTGAAGTGTTTCCCACCCCTCACTGGAGCAATCAGCCAGGAAGGCTTAATCCCACTGGGAATTTAGCACAGGCACATCCTGTTCCCCGGGGTGACTAGGCACCATGGAGAATATGTGGTTGTCTCTCCAGGTGCTGTTTTGCTGTTCCTTGGACCACACTGATCTCAGTTGACACTCACCAGTAGAAATGGTGAAAACTTCAAGCTCCTGATTGTGTAATTTAGGGGGAAAGTCCAGCTAAAGCTAAAAGGAAACAGTGTGGGGGTGGGGGGGGTGGCATCTTTAGGATGCGTCTGAGTTCTGTCGTGACCATCATTGGTTTTATCTGTTGTACCTGTTAGGAGTAAGATGGGGTCAGAGCTGAACCCATCAACCTGCCATTTCTTGCCCCTCACTGTGTGCAGATCAATGCACTCAACAGGATTCCTTCTGTCTTTCCCTCTCTGTGGAATGAGTAATTTCTACACTTGGGAACCAGAGACATGCACAGCCCTCTGAAAAGTTTGTGTCCTTGTCTGGTCCGGTTTGGCTCTGGAGCTTGGCCCTTCTGGGCTCTGAGCATTGCCACTTTGGATTTCGAGTCCCTCCTCATTTGCTCCCAGCTGAGATACAGTGTGCAGGAAGACTAGTCTGATGCTTCTGGCCTTGGATGTCTTCTGCCTCAGCTTCTACCTAGAGCTTTGTCTTGGGGTAGAAACACTACTAGCTCCTCTGGACCTGGCTACCCAAAAGGCCTTGTTCCCAGCTATGCTTTTGTCCAACTTTCCTGAGTGTCTCACTCCCCCCTCCAGCCACCATAGACAGAGAGCTTCCTTTGCCTGAGGTTCTGAGTCATCCTTCAGGCCTGGGGGAGGGAGCCAGGGAGTGGGCGAGCCTCTAGTCAGAGGAAAGAAGTGGTGTCGTGGTTCAGGCTCCAGCTCACAGAATCCTTTCAGCTTGAGCTCTTCAGACTGTGATTAGACCAATTGTCCATGTCTAGTCACTGAGGCCGCAATGGATGGGACTCTTTCTATATGTGCAAAGTGAAGTG